ACAGAAGCACAAGCAAGGAAAAAATACAAACCTATCAGTTGGGTTCCCAGATGCTATGCATTTAATCTTCACATAATCACCAGGATCCATGCTGCCACCTTTCTTGGTATCAGGTTTCACATAGTTAGCGGCTTGCCAAGCCAACGAGGACACTATCTCAAGCCAACTTTTGCAATTGTCATCACTGGAAAAACTAATGCCTTCCGCCTTCAGTAACTGTGCAACTAGAGCCCGAAAGTGCTTCAGCAAATCATTCTGAACACCACCTTGTTGAGATCCACCAAAGGCACCACACCCACTGGCTATTTTATTATCACCGAAACAACTAGGTTCTAGGAAAGCATCATCGTCATCGTCGTCAAATCCAAATATCCTCGATTCAACATCATCTCTCTCATCTTCAGGTGGTGGTGGACACCAAATAGCATCACCAAAATCAACAATATGGGTTGATGCGTTGACGACTTCTCTCTCAGCAGCGATGCTAGCAGCACTGACTAGCTCCCGTGCATCATCTGAGTCAGTCAATGTTATCGCATCATGATCAGAAGCATCATCCAGCTTCACCGCGCAAGTAGGACTCTCTGCGGGGCTTGGGGTCATTGATCTGTACATTGAGTTACTAACACTAGATTCTGTATCTGAAAAGTCTTGTAAGAAGTCAGTCCCAGAGGCTAGAAACTGGGCCCCAGGTTCGTCAGCAGCCTCCTCATCCACTCGCCTGCATCCACAACCAAAAATCGGTTCAAAGGTTATTCAACCCCCAATGACAATGACAATCTACACATTACCAGATATACACGTCATGCATCTGCCCTAGCCAATTCGTGTGTAACTTGCCTATAGTCCCACGCCCGCACTGCCTTTAAATATAATTTCAGGAAGGAGAAATACAATTCCCGAATCGACCAGACGACCAGACAACTTAACTTCCAAGTTTCCAAGTTTTTAAGCAGTGCTTACCATTTTTAATTCATTTATTTAGGCAAGTTCTAAGAACTGCGGTAGACTTGCATTTACTGATTTACCTAATATCACGGCCGGGGGGATGAGAGCGCGCGCCGGCGTCGGCTTGCCCCCAGATCTCGCCTCGGGCGGGCGGCGCGGGGGCGTGTGCGGCCCGACGGGCGAAGCTGCCCCCTCCTGGGCCTTGGGCGTGCTCACGCCATGGCCCGCCTCCTCCTGGCGCCGTCGCGTCTCGATCCGCGCGAGGTCGCCCTTGTGCACGTGGCGCCGCTCCTGGTCAGTGGCGGCGGCAAGGGATCTGGCCTTCCCCGCCGCGAACTCCAGCACCCCCATCCCCGACACGCCACGCTAAGATCTCAACACCGACCGTAGCGAAAGACGGAGAAGTTCAGAACAAAGTAGCAGGAGACGAGGCGAGGCGAAGCGACGCGGCCACGCCGGAAGCTTCCTTCCCTTCCTCCGCTGGTTGCGTCCCCTACAAGTCAGCGCCCCCACCGCACCCGGCACGGGACCAACCACCACCCGGCACCGGCGCGGCCAGGCCAGGCCAGCGGCCCGCGGCGCTGCGTGAGACGGGTCTCCCGCCTCCAGCGACAGAGCGAGCGCGCAATGCCGTCGGGCGGGACGGCGCCGGGACGACTCGGGTCTCGGGGTTCAGCTTCAGCAGGTGCGGGGACGGCGCGGGAGGCGGCGGAGTCAGGAGATGCCGCCAATTTCAGCGCCGCGTCGCGAGTAGGAGAGCAGACGAGAACGCAAGGTGCATGCTCGGAGAGCCGGGGGTTGGGGACGAAGAGCGGCGATGAAATGACGGCGGCGGTGGCGGCTGCGGTTCTTATGGGAGGGAATGGGAGATATGCGAGAGATACAGGACAGTGACGGCGCTTGCCGCGGCGGGTGTGATTTTTAACCGCTTGGCGCGCGCGGTGGAATTGTGGAAATCCTGGCTCGGTATCCGGTATCCCTCCGTTTCGCTGGCCGCCGGGAGAGGATGAGACGGGGACGGGTCTGGGTGATGTGTGCCGTGGACGGCGGGCGGCTTTCTTGCTTTGGCGGGCGTTCATTTTCCCCTGGGCTTGTTTTTAGCACTTCATTTATTAACGTTCTTTGCCACTGAAATCAAAGGAGCAACGTGAACCAACTAAAATCAAACGTAGAGGTCTTTTCCTAGAGATGAGATACGTCGTTGTCACCAGGATGCATATGTCAGATGAATTCAGGTCACCATCCATTCTTTTTTTTGTCGATTGTGCGATATAAAATATTCTCATGAATCAATGCAAAAGGTTTACTGTTTCTATGAAAACATAAAGTCCCTCACACACTACTGTATATCCTACGTATACTTAATGATTTAATAATTAGAAATGATCATAAATTAAATGAACAAAATAATGAAATGGCTATTTATGCGGTGTTATTTCTTTCCATAATCACCACTTATAGTTACACTATGTTTTGAAAGCAATAGCAAAGGAGAAACCTAGATTTTGTATTTGAAGTATTGAGGCATAAAAAAAATTACTCGATTTTGCTATTAGAGGTTGCCAACCACGTGTCGCTATTAGAGGTTGCCAACGACGTGTATATGACAAGTCAAAGATAAGTACGTTAAGTAAAACCCAGATTCATTGTTTCTTTTCTATCAAGCCAGAAAAGGGAGTGATAAAACCATGGTTGATTTTTTTCATACTCTATTTTAGGGAGCTTACAATTCCTTTTTTGTTTTTAGATGTTTTTTTGCCATGTTTGATTTTTTTTCCTTTTTATCAGCGCAAGAATTATGAAGTTGTCTCTGAAATTCCAGAATCGAAACAGACACCCTATCATTTTCCCCTGGCTTTGTTTTTATTTAGCACTCATTTATTAACGTTCTTATTCTTACCATATAAAATCAAAGGAGTAATGTGAACCAACTAAAATCAAACGTAGAGGTCTTTTCCTAGAGAAGAAGAAATACGTACGTCGTTGTCACCGATGATGCATATGTCAGATGGATTCAGGTCACCATCCATTCTTTTTTTTGTCACTGTGCGATATAAAATATTCTCATGAATCAATAATGCAAAAGGTTTAGAAGTCATGAATTATTGATGTTTACTGTTTCTATGAAAACATAAAGTTTCTCACACGCAATGACACACTATATAGCCTATATATACTCAATGATTTAATAAAGACATAAAATTAGAAATGATCATAAATTAAATGAATAAAATAATGAAATGACTATTTTATGTGGTGTTATTTTTTCCATAACCACCACTAATTATTACACTATATTTTGAAAGCAATAGCAAAGGCGAAACTAACTATATATTTTATGACAAGCAACAAATTAATTTGGGACTTCTTTATGACCTTTATTTTTTTTAAAGAATGAAACATTGGGTACCGTGATTGATCGGGTATGTCACCACGATTAAGACCCATAGGCTTTTGTATACGAAATGGCACATGGGTTTATCGTGTAAATGGCACATGGGTTTATCGTGTTCTCAAAGCAAGTAATAGGTTAGGGATGTGCCTTTTTGGGTTGAGTTTGAAAATAGATATTCATCTCGAAATGTAGTTTAAAAGTATATATCGTATTTTATATTGTTTTCAAAGTCGTTTCTTAACATGTCGATGTAACTTGCTTTATAGAACTGGAGGGAGTATCATCCTAGTTTTCCTCGTAGCATTGTTTTCGTGGTAGTTAACATCACGTCTTTACACGAAAGATACAAACGATAATTTGAGATACGCGAAAGTCTCCCTCCATTCCATTTTCTTAGAATATAGCAAAAAATGATGACTCCACTTTTAGTAGGCATGATGCATTAATCTATGTGTGTTAATAACTTTGCCAGAGTATATTCAAGGCACAACTGCATGCTTTTGTTTTAAAAATAGAAGCCTTCATGCCACATTAGTTTTTAGCTTTTCTCGAGTGCGGTGCAGGGCGGGCCGTGCTTCACATCAACCACATGAAGTAACTTGGTATTCTGATTATTTTTTTGCCACCACCTAATAAAAACGGACCGGAAGGAGTAGCATATGGCCGCTATAATTTCACTATTAGAGGCTGCCGATTACGTGATTTCGCTATTGAAGGTTCCAACCATGTGATTTTGCTATTAGAGGTTGCCAACCACGTGTCCGTGACAAGTCAAAGGCAAGTAGATTAAATAAAACATAGATCCATTGTTTCTTCTTTTTTTTATCATCAAGACACAAAAGAGAGTGATAAAACCATGGTTGATTTTTTTTCATACTCTATTTTTTAGGATGCTTATTACAATTCTTTCTTTCTTTGCTTTTAGATGTTTTTTTGCCATGTTTGATTTTTTCCCTTTTTATTAGCGCAAGAATTATAAAAGCTGCCTCTGGAATTCCAGTACCGAAACAGGCACCCTAACATTCTCCGAGGAACTAGGAGTTTTGGCTAAGCTCCGGGCAGATGCGGCCACGCATGACGACTTTAGACTGACTCCAACCGTCGTTACCCAAATAGGACATGCATTTGTTGTTTTGGGTCTAGCAGGAAAAATAGGTCAGCCACCCAAACGTTGCATGTTCCAACAGGTGACCCAAAGACAGACGACCGAGCACGGCCGGTTTCATTCGCGGGCGCGCCGTGAAAGCTTCCGCGGGAAACGAAGCGTGCGGGCTGGGTGCGAAACTACGGGTTCCTCGATGGCGGGATTATTTGCCGCCCCAACTACGTGAAGGGACTTGAGGCGGCAGCGGCGAAGCCGGCGCAGGCTCACTCGATGAACCGTCTGCACAAGGCCAACGTTGGCGCACAAGAGTCCATCGGAGAGTGCAGGTAATCTGATTTTCTGGCTATTTGCTTGTTCGATCCTTTAGGGCTTGTGCGTTTTGGCCCAAATCCAAGTGGATTGGAGAGGATTAAAGGGGATTAGAGAAATTTTGATTTTTATAGAGGATGAAATCCCTCTGAATCCTTTCCAATCCCTCTGAATCCCATGATTTGTGGCTAATTTGTTCTTAAATCGGCTTGGCTTTAGACCTCGACTGCGCTAGTATTGGCCATGGCTTGGAGTTATGTAAAAATGTCAATGTTCGGGACAGCCGCAGCATACTCCAACGACGATGAGATCATAGCCGCGGTGGCCGTCCTCACCCAGATGCCACAAAAACGCCCTTGGAGAGGTTCGGTCCCAGGCCACAAGACATACAAGCGTGATCGACTGGCAGCTGAATCAGGACTACTTCATTGAACATCCACTTTATAATGAGGAGCGTTTCAGAAGGAGGTACAATCTTTGGTCCAGTTTCTATGTCCATGACACTTTGTTTTAATTTGATAAAAAATTGTAATTTTTGGCCGTAGGTTTCGCATGAGACGGGAATTGTTCCTTCGGATAGTGGATGAGGTCACAGCCAAAAATAGGTTTTTCCAACAGAGGAGGGATGCTGCTGGGCAGTGAGGATTCTCTGCTCTTCACAAGTGCACGGTGGCTCTGAAGATGCTAGCATATGGTGGCCCAGCTGATGAGTTGGATGATCATTTGAAAATGGGAGAGAGTACTGCCCTTGAGACCCTGAAGGAATTTGTGATGACTGTGGTCAAGTTGTTTGGCAAAGAATTTCCTCGTCCTCCTAGAAGTGAGGAGATAGAGCACATATTAAGTATCAATTTGGCCAGAGGTTTCCCAGGAATGATAGGCAGCATCGATTGCATGCACTAGGAATGGTCTAGCTGCCCAATCGATTGGCAAGGCATGTATAGAGGGCATAAAGGCAAGCCAACTCTAATACTTGAGGCAGTGGCAACAGAGGATCTTAGGATTTGGCATGCTTACTTTGGTTTACCGGGGTCTCACAATGACATTAATGTTTTGCATCGTTCGAATGTTTTTGATGATTTGGCTAACGGGAGCGCACCCTCTGTTGAGTTCCATGTCAATGACAACATATATTCCCTTGGATACTATCCAGCATATGGCATCTATCCCGATTGGGCTACACTAGTGAAAAGCATACCAATGCCAGTTAGCAACAAGCAAAAGGTTTTTTCAGAGCGACAAGAGTCATGTAGAAAGGATGTGGAGAGAGCTTTTGGTGTCCTACAGGCTAAGTGGAAAATCTTGCATAGGCCAGCTCGTTTATGGAATCCAAAAGTACTTAATTCCATCATGCGTGCTTGTGTCATACTTCACAACATGGTTGTTGAAGATGAGCGCGGGGTTCAGCTGCCGATTGTGCACCCATCAGAATGGCCTGGAGTGGCTGACCCACCTATTAACCAGGATAGAGAAATTTGGGGAGTTGAGAAACTTGTTAATGCACAAAACATTATTCAGGACAGAGAGACGGCAGCATTGCTTCAGCACGACCTGATGGAACACTTGTGGAAGCTATACGGCCAATGCTTTGGTCCTTTTGCTCCTAATCACGAGAACATAAGTTTGTAGTTGTAGGTTCAGTTTCCTGATGTATTTTGTTGGCAGACTGATCATAGAGTCTGTAAGTGTAAGCTCAGTTGCCTGATGTATTTTGTTGGCAGCTCACGTGTTTCTAAAGTCTGTAGCTGTAGGAACTATATATTCAACACACACGTTCCTTAGTCTTCATTGTTTGAGGGGCCGATGAACCCTTTGCTCTCCATGATTTTCCGCTGCATGCCAAGATAATAGTTTTTTCAGATAAATGGGGACCTTCTCAATGTCAACCGACATAATACTAGCCTCAGCTGTGATCAGTTGAGCCTCTAATTCATTCTCCCTAATCTTATTTTCCTTCTTTTGCTGTTGCATACTCATCTTCATATGCTTCTTCTGAAAGTTGAAAAGATCCCTTTGAATCTTAATTTTTTCATCCTTCCTGCTAAGGATTTCAGCCATTTGCTGGTCTTGCTTCTGTTCGGTCTTCTCTTATTTCTCCTGCAACCGCTGCAGGACTTCAACAGCCGTACTGGATGATGAGGTCTCTGCGAAGCTCTTTGATCTATGCCTCTTCGCACTATCCCTGCCCTCAGGCCGTGATGTGTCTATATTGTCATTCCTAGATTCTGCATGGCCTTGAGTTGCAGGAGATGGCATTACATCAGGTGATGTACTTATTGTTCCATTTGGTCTCTTTGTGAAGTTTTTTCCAGCAATGCATGATGGTAAAAGGTTCTGTCCTCTCGTACATTTTTACAGCATCATCTATCTACGCATATGAATATAGATTACACCGGTTAGAAAATAAACATATACAAATTAGAGAGATGGAGGACAACATCAGTGAAAGTATACCCAATCCTGCTAATTTTTTTCGCTCTCATTCAGCCTATCAATAGATTCTTTGAGCCCATAGAACCTGTTCATCGCTCTTTGGATCAATGCCCACCTATGTTGAATCGCAATCTGGCTACGGTTGGACCCTTCAGGCTTATGCTCATTGAAATAATCATGCATCCTCTTGTAATAACCACCCGAAGTCTGATTCACACCTGCAAGACACCATGTTATTTGGGCATCAAAGGGACAAAGATTTCTTAAAAAGCGTTGTAAACTATTACCAGTAATAGGGTCTTTGCTAATATTCAGAAATGCCGAACACACCACAATGTCCTCCTCGTTGGTGAATGCAGTTCCTCTCCTAGCCACTTTTCCCTTTTTTTGGGGCCTCTGTGCTTTCAATGTTGGAGCGTCCTAAGACACATGGTTGTTGTCAATGGAGAACCCCTGACTAGGTTGCCCATTCATAGGTGGGCCAGACATCTGGGAGGAGCCATGCATGTTGAACTAGTCATAAGAAGAATTGTTAATCATCGATTCATTGATATATAAATAGAATAAACCATCAGATTCATGGCTGCAATAAACCTGGGGGTCTGGATGAACATCCAGAGATTGCAAAGCAGCAGGATAACCAAAAGCCCATTGATGTACCCCAAACATTTCTTCAGATTCGCTAGGGTGCCCACTTGAGCCACTAAAAATGTTATACATCCTCCTATTGCAACAAAGATACAATTAAACATGGCACAAAATATGCATAGAACTTAACACATAGGCATACATGCATGGTACATGATTCTTTGCATCATAGGAGAAAGGGATTTGGTACTGAATTTATGTAGACATAGTTCTCTGTTTCATAGGGGGATAATCTACTACTAAATCACAAGCAAGTTCCCAATCCATCCCCAAATCCTCAAATCAGCAAAGCCGGCAAGGACACAAGTAGCAGGGGCAGCTGGTTCCCCATCCATCCCCAAATCCCCAAACCAGTGAATCACTAAATCAATCCATCACCTACAAGGCAGTGCCAACAGGAGTCATGGCACGCACAAGCGCATAGCGTCTTGATGGCGGCGATGCGGCGAGAGCGAGCCACGAGGCGCTTGATCGGCAGGACAATGGCAATGGGCAGCCCCGACGGCGCCAGCCGAGTGGCCCCAGCAATAAGCGCGAGCGGTGTCGCCGAGCGGCGAGCAGCGAGGACGGAGCCGCAGAGGCAGGAAACAGAGGCGCATTCGAGTGGCAGCGCAGGCGAGCCGCAGCAGCCTCACGTCGTCCTCCTGCCTATGGTGGGGTTGGAGTCGTACCTTTGAAGCCTAGCTCGGTGATGCTGCCGAGGCCGAGACGCTGACGGCCCAATCGCCTGCGCGTGCGCGTTCCTCTTCTTTCCCCTCCCGCGAAACGGTTGCGGACTTGCGGTCGACGAGAGAGAGACGGACATAGGACCTATATTTGAGTCTCGACTCGCTGCCGATGCAAAATGCATCATTCATTTGCCTACGCTGTTGAACGCCGTTTTTTTCTCTTGGACGATGCAAAATGGGTTTAGGTGCCGTAATGGCTACCCGGTTGGAGACGTCTTCGAGGGTTTTCTTCGTTTCACAGGAAACCTGGAGCCTGTGATGAGGCCGTGACCGTGAATCTGCGTGGATGGCACGTGGCAACGCGACGGCGAGGCAAGGCTCCCACCAATCAAGAACGGGAAACCCGTGTCGGTAACTGGTGGTGCCGTGATGGTATGCGACTATGTGAATGCGAGGCAGAAGATCGGGTTCCATTTCCAAGGTTGGTGGTGGTGCCTCGGTCTCGAGCTCTCGAGCTCCGAAGCCGCCCCCGCGCGCGTCCGCTGCGCTGGTCGTCCCACCCCGCGGCACGACGCGCGTGAACTCCGATCGATGGATTGAACGCCCGCGCGCGGATCGGGTCAGCACTCGCCTGCCCAGGCTTCGTCACATGATCACGGCTGCCGCGCGCACGTGAACCGTGCTCAGCATTCCACCGCACCGCTCCGATCCCTCTCGTACGCACCCGAACCGGCAGCAGCCGCCGCCGCCGTTCATCTCTGACCACTGCTTCAGGAGTAGTAGCACCCCGTACGCCTCTCGGCTCCTCCATCCGCCTGTGGACTGCCGCCGGCCTGCGCCCTCCGATCGGGTTCCGGCGGGCGGGGGTGCGGTGCGCACCTGTGGCCACCGAGCGCCCGCCTGCCTGCGATTTTGCAGGGAACGCATGCAATCGCGTCCACTCGCTGTCGCCGCTGCTACTGCCGTGGACTCGCATCCGAGGCTGACACGATACAAGCTTTCACATCTTTCCCTGACGAGTATCAGGGCTTTTGTCGTTCTTGTTGTCCTCAAGCGAGCAAATGGCCATGCCGCATGCTCTCCGGTGATTCACCGGCTGTGCGTACGCGTCAGCGCCGTAAATCGGCCATCAGTTTGGCAGGGAATACTCCTACAAAAGAGGGCAGGTTAGGCACTCTAGTCTCAAGTTGGAGTGACAGACGATGGTTAACGCGGAGGAAGCCGATCGAAGGACCCATCAGCGGCAGCGCAAACACAGACGATGGTTGAATGGAATCATGTGCTCGCAGCTCGCGCTGACGCGCGCAGATCCCGACTGACCGTTACTAGCCCTGGAACCATAAAAACGTTGTGCGTTGTGTATTTTGCTTAAGAAATACGTACTCCAGAATGTTGCCAAGTTGGTACAAGTAACTGGAACGTTAGCCGGTAGTATATAGAAACAAAACAAAGGCGCGTGCCAGCGGCCAGCAAAACAACGGGAGAAAGACGGTGGCTTCACGCTGAGCTAGCACTCGTGCCTACCGTCGCTGCATCTGCCCGTTCAGCGCGACGACCGCCGAGCAAAAAAGGTGCGGCTCTTACACAGAGTGTTCAGCGTTCCAAAACTCATCAGGTCGTCACAGCAGCCCCGCTCGCTCGACGACTTCTCCATGCCAAATCCGTGCGTGGCGTCTGCAGTGT